GGGTGCAGCGGGGTGGGCCCTCGGCGGGCCGGACCCCGCTCCGCAGCATCATGCATTAGTAATGGCCACCGATCCCGGCGCTGACGGCACTTCTTCCAGCCGGCAGCAACAATTCGGGCCGTAACCGGAGCCGCCGCCGCGGGCTCGGGTGTCCCCCGCGTCCCTGGGGGTCACTGGTGGCAGCCGGGGGGCTGGCAGTGGGGCAGAGCCCCCCACGCCGCAGCCCAGCTGCTCCAGGAGGCCCCTGCGGTGCCGCCAGGTGGGTCCAAGGTGTCTCGGAAGCTGCCGAGATCCCAGTGTCACTCTTCCCTCTGGAACCGGCACCGGGGACTCGCGTTGCTGCCTTGTCCCCTCTGTCACCGGGGCTGCAGGCACAGCTTTGGGGGGAGTGCACCCAAAACTCACAGCACCCAAACCTTGGGGGTGGTGGCACCCACAGCCCTGCAGGGAAGGTGCTCCAGCCCCGTGAGGGTGGCACCCAAATCTCCCTGGGATTGCACCCCAGGGCCTGGGGAGGTTGTACCCAAAGGCCCAGTGGGGTGGCCCCAATGTCCCATCGAGCGTCTCCAGAGTCCCCCGGAAAGGCATTCAAGGCCCTGGGAGGGTGGCACCTGCAGAGCCACGGGGATGAACGCAGAGCCCTGCAGGGCACCCAGAGCCCCGTGGAAAAGCACCCCAGATCCCCTGGGAAAGCACCCAGAGCCCGCAGGGATGGCACCCACAGTGTCACAGGGGTGGCACCCACAGTGTCACAGGGGTGGCACCCAGAGCCCCCCAGGTCCCCACGGGGTGGCACCAAACCCTGGTTGGGGCAGGATTGTCCCCGAAGCTGCAGGACTCGCACTGTGCCCCAGGAGGTGACCCCAGGTCCTGGGGAGGGGGGACACCCAAAACCCCGCAGGGAAGGTCCCCAGTGCCCCCCTGGATGTCACCCAAAGGCCTCCAGGGACTCCGGCTCCCTACAGGCGACCAAGGCCGGGGAGGTCCCGGGCAGCCCCGCTCGCCCGGGGGACAGGAGGGTCCCCAGGGCCCTGTCCCCGCGCAGGCAGCGACGGGCGCAGCGCGGGGGCCACCTGCCGGGCGGCGGCGACAAGTGCCACCCCCGCGGCGACAGCAGCAGCAGCAGCTCGAGGCGCACACGGTTTATTTTATAAAAACGTTACAAGTTCTGCCCTTCCGCGCGGCACCGGGGACCTGGGGACACTACCCCGCAGGGTGAGAAAATGAGGGGAAAAAGGGAAAATTCAGACTCAGTGCAAGCGGTAGTAGGGCCCTATGCTGCAACCAGCTCCGCTGGGAGGTGGGATGAGCCAAAATGAAGAAAAATAAAATAAGAGTGAAATAGCTCCCGCGCAGCCCTGTCCCCTGCATGGGGTGGCCCTGATTTTGTCCCAAGTTTGGCCCCTCCGCTCACTTTTCCCTGTTCCCGGCTCCAGTCCAAGCTCTGCTGCATCCCGGGGTGCTGCTGCACAAGGGAGAAAACCCCAAATAACCCCAAAACACCCAAAGGGACCAGGAGGGGAGGGAATAGGGCACAGAGGAGCAGCCCCAAGCCCTTGGCTGCAGGAGGGAAGATACAGGGAGGAAGGGAAGGAAAATCAGCAATAATGTCCCAGTCAGCAAAAAAGAAAGAAAATCCACGTCTCTGGCATCACTGTGGCTCCATCTTTTCCTTCTGGACCATGCAGGTATAGCTTAATGCTTAAATTAAAACACTTTTTTGAGGGGGATTGGCGGGGGGGTCTTTTGGAAGGAGGAGGGAGAGTTGCAGAAAAAGTTCAAAAAGAAGAAAAATTGGAAAAAGACATGAAAAAAGAGGCTGGGGAGGGGACCCCCGCTCAGGGCCCTAGCACGTGTCAACTGCATTAAAATCTGATCTGCTCAATAGGCCCCCAGGGCGGAGAAACAGTTACCTGCAAAGGAAGGGGGAGGAGGTAATTAGAACACTATATATTTTTTAATACAATATTGAAAAAATACAAATTTTTATTGTGTTTTTTTTCTTTTTTTCTCCTTTTAAACCGATCCCAACACCCAGCACTTAACCCTACTCCTAAGTAGCACCTACATTAAGGTTATAGCACAAGCAAACTGCCCGGGCAGGGGGGAAGCAGGTTAAACAAGTGCCAGCCAAGGGGGTCCCCTCCCTCCCCAAAATAATGGGAAAAACCAGCGTGCTAGAGAAAAATACACCATTACATGTTAAATAGTTAATATTACCCTTCCGACAAGCCACAAATGCTAGATAGAGAACTTCAGCACAGTCACTAACCACAGCCCTACGTTACGCTTGAAAAAAATAAAGGGGGAAAAAAAAAGAGAAAGGAGAGGAAAAACCTTTGCTTCAAGCCCATAATTAACGTAAAGGAAATTCTTTGTATGTTTTTATTAAGGAAAATCATGCTAAAGCAAAATGGTACGAATCTTTTTTTTTCTCCAAAGAAAAAGATCGATTGTGCTTTATGAATCAGAAAGAGGATTGTAACCTTCCAACCCCAACCTCAAAACTTGGTGGCATTTCTAAAGGAAAAAAACAAAACAAAACACTTTTTTGGGGAAAAAATAAGAAGTTTTACCAGTCTGACATTCAACACTGTTGGAGAGTCGCTCTGGGGGGGTTGATTTCCATGCACTGTCCTGGTGGTCACAACTTAACTCAACTTAAAGCATCTTGTCCAAACCCCCTCCAACTCTCCCCAAAATACAGCAGGTAACATTCAGATTTAAAAATCCATCTCAGTAAGAATCTCAAATGCACAATTATCCAAATTCAAGTACACCGGCATCCCAGGTAGATGTTTACTGTATTAGATTCTCTTTAGCATTAAAACAAACAAACAAAAACATCTTAGCTCGCTGACAAGAGACCAGGAGAAATCAAACGTTTCATTCAGAAGCATCCTGGAAAAAAGAAAGTAAAGATCAGATTCACTTGCTTCCTCATTTGGTGCTTTTAGGGTTTTTTTTTATTCATTTTTTTTTCCTAGATCATACTCTGTTAACTTTAAGAAATTTTAATCTTGTTGTACACACACAAGCAGATGGCTACCAAGCTGGTGCAGAAGGGGGGGTGGAAAATAAAGGGAAAATAAAATCGGTGCCGATGGATTCATGGACTACAGCCAACGGGCCAATCCTCGAGGATCTGAAGCTCTCAGCAAGGCTAAATCCATGTGGTCAGAGCCCCCTCCCAGGAGATGGAGAGTGTTTGCGAGGTGTTTAACCATACTTCAAGAGAGAAAAAGCAAACTTGGAGCCATTAAAGGGCAGCAGTTTCAGATCTATGACAAAGTAAGAGTTCGACTTCACATGTGCTCCAGCTAAATCAAAGCACTGCTCAGAGAGCATCGTTTTTTTGTGTAGTTTTCCTCCAAAAAAAAAGGGAACAGCTCATAATCCAGACCAAGCAAGTGGGTAACATCCAGATGAAGGCTTGAGAGTCCCCAAAGCAAACAGACCAGTGGTTGTCAGTCCCTACAGTTCAGAGGGCAGCCAGGAGTCCACATATAAAAACGGACTTAAAATCCAAGTCAACATTTTTAAGCTTCAGCGCTCTGAAGAGCTCCATGCATTTGTGGTGTTTTAGTTGGTTTTTAATGCGACTCCACAACAAATCTGCTCAGCAAGGTTGACCTGAAGGAGCACCTTTCACTTCACTGTCTGATCTACACGGTTAGCACAGCATCCCCCAGATTTTTTTTTTCATTTTTAACTTTGAGAAAGTGCTGTTCCACGGTATAGCATCCAAGCTGGTGTCTTTGGAAACACTGATAAGAAAGCAAACATCTTTGCTAACTCCCTACCTATCAGAGCAGCCGTTTTAGCTGACAGTCCAGTAGCACACAAGTTGACTTGGCCAAATGGAATTTGAATGCATGCATTCGGGCTGCATATTGCTACCAAAATGGAATGTGGGAATATGCTATGCACCTCGGGTTCGAGAAATGACCAAGAAAAATCAAGATCTAAAGGGTGATATATATATATATATATCAATGCTATTATTCATAAAAACCTTGTTTAGTAATAAAAAAAATTGCTTTGTTTAAATATGAATATTATAGTCTGCTTCTCATGGTTAGGAAATTAAGAGTCTCTCTGAAAAGCAGGTTGCCTCTTCTACTACAATTCCATATCCTGAGCCTCATCTTCCGAGAAGTCGGACATGGAGCTCTCGGATGAGCTGTCCCCGGTGCCTTCTTCCTGTTCTTTTAGTGCTTCTTCTGTTGCATATTTCTGAATGTATTCTGCGGGCGAGAGAAGAGAACACATATAAGCAGCATATATTCACCAGCTAAGCGTGGCTGAGAACTACAAGTGGCACCTGGTGAGTAACTAGGTGCTGGAGGTGACACAGGGCTCAGTTTGGAGCAATTGAGGCAGGATTGCCCTGTTTCTCTGATCACAAGCAGCGTTGTCACCTGTGAAAACACCCCATGAAGACCTTGCAGATGTGCAAGACCTGGAAAACAAGAGCGGTCCCAAGGCTCCTATATCAACATCATACACAAGCACAGAGCTGGACACAGCCAAAACCACTAAACACATCCCGTTTTCCACCTTCTCCCAGGGAAAACTAATCCCTGTCTGCCCCAGGCTCTGCCTGGAAAGCACAAGCCTTGTAACCTGCTTCCCTTCAGTACCCTCCATATCACGAAAGGGCAACACAAAGCAAATCATAGAAAGCCACATCCCAAATGTTGCCCTGGCAAGGAGAAGGGAGCTGCTCTTCCATCAGTGCTGTCGCGAGGGAATTTCAGCCACTAACTCATTATCTTTCCAGATGCCTCCTCCATGCAGCAGTATGAAGAAAACTGCTGTCCCTTTGCGCTCAAAGGGGAGTCCCTGCACAAGACTGTGAATGTCACACGTTGGGCTCAGCCTCGTGGGCTTCCCTGCTGCGTATCCTTCCCTTCCTCCCAGGGAAGAGGAGGGGATGAGGTTCACGAGTACCACGTCTGCAAAGATCACTGCTTCCTACACCCCATAGCATCAGCAGGTGGATGCACAGAGCTGCATGAGGACACAGCTAATGCCAGACACCCAGGTGCTACAACACAGGTTAAGGACTGCTTTTAAGACCACTGGCTTTACCTAAAACCATCCAAGGACGATCAGGGGCCTGGAACATCTGCCCTATGAGGAGAGGCTGAGGGAGCTGGGCCTGTTCAGCTGGAGAAGAGAAGGCTGAGAGGGGACCTGAGCAGTGTCTAGAAGTACCTCAAGGGAGGCAGTGAGAAGGATGGGGCGGCCTCTTTTCACTGGTGGCCACCGACACAACTAGTAGTAATGGCCACAAACTGAAACACCAAAAGTTCCACAGGAACTTAAGGAATAATTTCTTACAAGTGAGGGTGCCAGAGCCCTGGAACAGGCTGCCCAGAGAGGTTGTGGAGTCTCCTTCTCTGGAGATCTTCAAACCCGCTTGGACGCAGTCCTGTGCCACGTGCTCTAGGTGACCCTGCGTGTGCAGGGGGGTTGGACTAGATGATCCCTAGAGGTCCCTTCCAACCTTCACCATTCTATGATTCTATGATCTCTCTCCCCTTCTGCAATTCCTGACCAAAGGGACAACCCTCTCCAAGAAATCTGCAGCAGCCGCAGGTTTTTCCCCATGTTTCAGGCCAGGCACAGGGACAAGCAGAGCCTGGACGATGAATCCAGGGTGAGGGGCCCAGTACAGAGAGCCAAAACTGCCTGGAGAAGATCCCTGGATGGGGCATCCTGTGGTCCTGGCCAAACTGCTCTGCGCTACACGAGACCTGCCCAAGGGGAGCTTCCCGTCCTAGCGAGCTCCAGCATCTGGATCTAATGACACAAACAATCTCAGGCTGTTTAAAATACATTATTAACCTGCTTGCTCAGGCTACAGAAGCAGCTGCTCAGATGTGTTTTACAAGATCTTGCAAGAACTGATTAAGTATTAAAGGCAGCTGCGTAAACTGTAGGAAGTGAGAAGCATTTGGGACCCCTCTATGCCACACAGAGACTCCCAGATTTAATGTCAGGCTTTTGGGGTGCTCATAACGTCAAGAGGAAAGTGCTCTTGTCCTTGGTTTTTACAGAGGAAGGTGGGTGAGTGGTGGTTGGCCAGAGAAACAGATGGGCTGCAAATGGGATATATCCTTACAGAGCTACTCCCTTCCTGCTGCTTTCCAGTGCTCTCTGGGCCACTGGCTTACAGAGGAAGGTGGGTGAGTGGTGGTTGGCCAGAGAAAGAGATGGGCTGAAATGGGATATATCCTTACAGAGCTATTCCCTTCCTGCTGCTTTCCAGCGCTCTCTGGGCCACTGGTAATTTGGACACTGAAGCCACCATTTCTGCCTGCTGCAAAGCCCTGTTTGAGCCTAGACTGTTTGTGCCAAACAAGTGTGACCTGAAGAACTGCAGATTTAAAATGGCATCGTCTACCCAGGCAAGGAACCAAGCTCTGGGCTGGGCCTTTCCAATGGTTTCATCTGAGGAAGGTCAATCGTGCAAGGAACTCGTGTCCTGAACCTGGATCTTCGGCTCTTAAGGGAAGACGACCTGAAATATCTGAATAATATTAATAAATCATCTACCACAGAAGAAATTTCACAGCAAGAAGGGAAAGTCTGGATGCACCCCTTCCCAGCATGGAAAAATGGCTTCAGTTCATCTGTTTATAAACCCTGAGTGACACAAACAAGCTCTGATCATGGCCTGAGGCGGGTATAGGCCTGAGGGCCACGTTGGCTTTTCCAAGGGCTCTCCCGGGGCTTCCCAGCAGTACATTGGACCAAGAGCTGCTCCGAGCAGAAACGCGCAGCCTGCGTTGCGGTCCTTACCGCACCGCCTTGGCCACTGTTACCCAACACCCTCGTTCCCCAAAAGCTGTTTTCATACTAAACCTACAAAGGAGATGGTGAAAGCAGCGTACGTGGAAGCTAAACAACAGTTCTCAACAGCTCTGTAAAAACAAATGCATTTTTTCATACCTAAAACCATCCACCAGCACTGTACCAGTGACCAGGCAGGCCAACAAACCCAGGAGAGTCACGAAAGGGATCCCCAAGGGTCATTCAGCTCTGTGGTCAAGAACTACTAAATTCATTTACTAAGTATCACATTTTCCAGCTGTGTTATCAGAAAAATTGATGGATATCTACAAGTTCCATGGTAAATCCTTACTTGCCTGGGCCTCACATTAAGAATGACGGTGACCACAAGCCTTGTGCCACATTTGTCCTAAGCCTAAGCCTGTTTCTTCACTAACATTATGTCAAACAACCGCTCTGTTTCTTCATAACTAAAAAATGAGGAAGAAGAGAGGCGATAAATTATGTATTTGCAATGCTGAATTTCCCAGAGTAAAGACACTGCTACGATCCACTGCACTCATTTTAACGTGTCCAAGGTTATTTTTGAAAAACCTTACAATATTAGGAAGAATAGGCACCCAAAGTACCCTCATGCCAGCCCTGGAGAACTCATCTGACACAGTATTTTGCCCAGAAGCCTGCTCATATATATTAAAAAAAAATAAAAGAAAAGGAAACGAATTTCAGGATACTGAACTGGCCAGACCTGCAGGGTGACTATATGATCCTGTCACGCAGCTGTCACAGGAATCAAGCAAAGTGGGCTGAATAACTCTGAGCACTTAAATACAGCTCCGCCTGGCCTCATTTGCAGTTCCGCCCTCCAAAAATAAAAATTAGAGATGATTAAGAGTCATTTTGCACAGGAACAAAGCGACTCGAGGTTTAACTGCTCCAGAGTGACGTGGCAAAAGGGATGACAGGATCCACCGCCAGGTCCCACACGTTTCTGGAGTGCCTGTGCTCTCCGAACCCGAGCGACATTTCCTGATGCTCCATTAGGAAAACTGCTGCCCAGTTTTGCACTGGGAGGAAGACTAATGGATCGTGCTTGCTCGTGGAGGCTCCCTTTGCTGCACGGGCTCTGCAAACCTTTCTGGCAGGGCTCCCGCGGACAAACAAGTCGTACGGTTATTCAGTAACCGAAAAAAAATAAGAATCAGGTGCTCACGGGCTCTATTAAAACCCAAGCTGCAGACCAGATCTGGGCCAAAGGCTGTAAATTACCAACCACTGCGTTACACGCTGATTGTGTGAGTTGCATAAAGCACGAGATAAAGTCCATGGCTTTGCCACAGGCCTCAGGAAGCAGTGCTCAGTCCCGAGCGCATAAAGCTGAACCTAGGGAAGGCAGAGCACCAATTCCTGGGGGAATTCTCATTTTCTAGTGTATTTTCCCTGTTTCCACGTGCAAAATAATTTAGCCTCTCGCTTACTATTCCTAGAACAGTCCTTTCACTCACAGTGTTATCAGAAGCATCTTGAAGTCCTTTCCCTGATGCCAAGGAGGTAGCGACTCTAGTTACTCCTCTTGACACCTTATTCTTCAAACCCTTCCAAGGGCAGATACTCCAGCACCCTCGCAGGCTCTGCCAGCACCTCAGTGACTGATGGGGACAGGTAACATTTAGCCTCAGTCCCCCTAGCTGAAGTTAAACCCTGTGACCAAATGCAGCTCATAGTGACCACCGAGGATAGTTCCTTCCCTTCCTCTCCAAAGGCACCTTTGACATTTCAGTGCTCACAGTCCCGCTCAGCTCTCTGGATTAAACTCCTCCAATTCTTTCCACTTTTCCTCTTAAGATGCATCTCCAGGATTGTCCACGCTTGCTACAGCCTTCCAGATGTCTGTAGTTAAGTCTGCAGCTTTCCCAAATGGCAGCTCCTGAGCTGGGCAGAGTCCTAGCAAGCTGGAGTAGGGGGCAGCAAGAAGGATTACTGACATCTCCTGCTCTGTTACAGTCCCAGTGACTGCTGCAAACAGCAGCATCGATGCCTCGATAGCTGCTTGACCACTTTCCACAGAAAGCACAAGCTGCTTTCTATCCAGTAGCTGTGCAACTGGATATTCCCACTGAAGTTTGGCATTTTTCCTTGTCCCTTCTCCAGCTGCATAGCTTTTCCCTTCAGTTACGCCTGCAGCCTGTCAGGATCACACTGAATCCTAGCAGTTTGCTCACAGCCCTCCCTGCTTGGCATCAGCTGATGATTTAGAACAGCTTTGGTCATCAAACAGTAACAGCACATCCACCCCTTAATTAAGGCAACTCCCATTTAAAACAAGCGGGGTCCCTATGACAGGAAGAGTCACAGAGTCACCTGCAGCAAGGATGATCCTCATTCATCCCAGCGGAATCCCAGCACTGCCATTCCTTCTGCAATGTGTCCTTTAGACCCTTACCTTTAATTTTCTGTTTGTACTCTTCTGGTCGGTGGAGGTACATGGCCGCAGCGTCACCATTTAGAGGATCTATAGGGTTAGGATAGGCCAGCAGCTGGGGCAGGAACGATTCAAATATATTGGTGAGATCTGCAAGGCAAAGACACAGGAGTTCATGTCTATGGACCCAGAGTTAATCTTATGGGAAGCACTGGCAGAGCAGCACAAAGTTTCAAGGGTAAAATACACTGAAAATCCAATTTAAAATAAAGGAAACTGCATCAGAGGGAAGCACGTATACGGCTGATAAAGAGCTATAGGGTCAATCATGTGAAGAGACCACATTAACACCTTGCTGCCAGCTGGCATCAGTCACTAAATAATCCACAACAGGAAACATTCCTCTGGTGTGGATGAGCAATTGTGGGTACACAAGAGCCTCTTCCCACATCCTTTAGGCAACAAGTGCCACCGTGCAGCGGTGCAGGTGTTGAGAAAGAGGCTTGGAAGACGTCAGTCCTTCCCAGGTCCTTCCCATCACTAACCAAGACCTCCAAAGGGCTCCGCACTTCCAGGTACATCTGGCCACTACCTGAACCTCATGTTCTATCTGGATCTCTCAGAAGCATCCTGGTCTCAGGAGATGTTTGTTGCTATGGCTCAAGAAGATCAGAGATGAGCCTGGACATGGTTCTTCCCTCAGAAGAGCATTCCTTGTCAGCATAAACCTTGCCAAGTAGGAGGGAAGGCCATGGATTGACCCATACTCAGGAGCAGAGGGCTCATTTTAAGCTATGGGTAACAGTTACCAGGTCTCTGCTGTATGGAGACACGACTTAAAAAAATAAAATAATAATAATTTAAAAAAAATCAGGTGTTTTTGCTCCCAAACCTCTATCTACCACTAAAGCTGTTGCCCCTTCCTATGCTGGCAGGAAACAGACACAAAGCACGTGAGCACACAAGTATCTCAACCAAGTTTGCCAGTGAAAACAGCTCAGCAATGATCTCCGAGATCGCTTTCTGCCCCAGCCTTGGAAGTGGTTTGTCCCTGGGAAACCAAGAGCCACCCGAGGCACTAGGGCCAGTCGCTATCAGCAGGGAGCTGACTTATTTGCAAGCCACGAGCAGGTTGCTCTGGGAGCGGGGCCCGCAGGGAAGGTTTGGATGAAGAGTCTCGTTGGCCATCAGCAAAACCACCCCAGCTCGCGCTTCGGCTGAGCAAGCGGAGCCTGGAGGCTAGCACGGCCCACAGGACACTTCTAAAGCAGAAAATCTGAAGACATCAGTAATTTCCTCCTCTTTCACATCCCCAAAGACAGCATCAATTTAACAGGAACTAGCTGGATGTGTGCTGGAAGCCTAATCACAGGGTCAAGACCACCCCAATACTTCCTTAGGGAAAAACTGGGAATCTAACCGCTAGGCCCTTAAGACTTATTGGCCGACACATAGCAGAATGTTATTTCCCCCTCTGAAAATCCCTGGAAGCCAAAAGATCTCTGCATTCTGGTGCTCGACGACTTGACTGAAGGAGCAGATTGCTGTGGTCATCCCAGCAGGCTCCCTGCAGCTTCCAAGCATCCTAAGCAAGGGAAGTCTGCAATAAGATTCCTGTCAACTGATGCACTCTAATGCCAAGTTTTGCTGCTTGCTGTGGGTAGTGCTCTATGCAGAATATTTGCCTGTATCACAACCATGACTTGTAAGCAAAGGCAGAGGGACAAGCAGAAGAATTTTGCAGGTCCCTCAATCTCAATGCAGCACAAACATAGTAAAACATGAGTTTTTCTCCTACCTTTCCAAGCAAAAGCAATGACATAAATACAGAAATGCTCATTAAGAAGCCTCCTAAAGGAAGCCCCTCTGTGCAATTGTTTGGAACTGGCGCAGGGCCCTGCTGTGACCGGCTGTGAGCGTCGCTGCAGAGCGAGGGAGCTCTCCGAGCGCCGCTTCCGAAGGGAAACACGGATCACCGGAGCCCAGAACCGGCCTCGCAGTCACACTGGAGGAATTCTCATTTGTCCAGCCGTACTCAGGACCTGCAGGGGCCATTTAAGGTTGGGAAATAGGGATAGGTGCTGCAGGCCTGGTCATGCGGGCTCGTCCCCACCAGAGGGCTGGGTTTGCTCAAGGCTTTAGCTTCTCTGCTTCGCATCCCAGGGAAGCGGCACGGGAGCATCCTGCTCCTCCCACGGGTGCAACACCCGGGTGGCAACACCAGGACTTCGGACATTTGGATGGAGAGGAACGTTCAACAAGTTGCTATCGCAGTTTTCCTGCTCAGGATTGCCCTGCATCTAGTTTTTCCTTAAAAACAGTGGAGAAAGTTGATGTAGCCTCTCTAGTAACTGCTTCAGAGGCCCAAATTACTAGGCAAACACACAGCTTTGCTGTGCACCATCCCCTGGACACCATTCCTCCAGGTGTGATTAGAGTATCTTGAGAAGTTCACACTTGTCAAATGCCTAGACACTCAAACTCATTTCTTTTCAACAACCTCAGCCTTCCCTAAATGTTATTTTAAGGGATCTTTAACTATCAGCTATCCTTTTCACACCGCTGAAAAGGAGTTATAAACAGCCACGACCAGAGGAGACCCGAAAGATCCTGCGTTAAGCACTGCAGTTCCCACAGGTACTGTCCCTTCTAGTCCACGCTGAAATGGTGCTGCCACGACAAGCGGTTCCTGGTGTAAAATTGTGGGCCACAGTCCTGCATACAAAGAATATCAGCCTGAATGCACATACAAACACAAGGGCATAACTGGAAATAACCTATTTCCAGTTATTATCAAACACAAGGGCATAACTGGAAATAATAATAACTGGAAATAGGTTATTCCAGTTATTATTATGCAGGTTCCCCTGCCTCACTTTAGACACAGAACTCCTCGTTTTCGGTGCTGAATCACGGTCAGAAGCTGTTGTGCAGCCTCCACGCACCACCACGCAATGGATAAGCAATTCCCTTAGGAGGTTTGTGGGATATTTTGGCATCTCTGGCACAAAAACAGGTTATGTGAAGAGTCTAAAATTTAGGAAAAAGAGTTGGCCTAAGCTTACGTGCACCCTGCAAGTTGTGTTGTGTTAGCAAACCAAGCAAGGGTGCTCATGTGGTCCCCTTTTGGGGGAGATGCCAAACTCACCGTAGAGAGCTGTCCAAGTTTGATTGATTACATCTAGACATACAGTTCCTGACCTGAAACATATGGAAATGATGGAATTAAACACAGTCACACTCAAATATTCTAGAGATTTCACACCATTTAACACCCCATTCCCTTCTCCTCTTCCCCCTGGTCCCATTTGTCCTACATAAAACAGGAGAAATAGTAATTTATGATTAATAGGGCAGGGGGTAGCCCTTAACTACATGAACCTTCAAACGATGCCCAGCAAGGGCAAATTGGAGCCATAACTGAATTAGCTGGTCCAACTGGGGACCTTGTTTTTTGAGAGGATCAGCACAGTGCCAACAAGAAGGGCGATGAGTAACCCTGTATTTTGGGCAAGAGGCACAGCACTCCGACCACATCTGGGAGATGCCAGCAACGAGCATCTCCCCAGGCTTGTCCACAGCCTGATCCCGTTGCAAAAGTTAACATGGGAACTCTTATGGCACCACCAAAATTCCCTGCTCCGTTAGTTTAAAGCATTGTTTAACTCCTCAGCGCATTACTGCGGAGCCAGAGCGCGGTTACAACGAGACAAAACTCCTTACAAAAACCACACGCAGGGGATTGACTTACGCTTCGTCGATGTTGGGATGGAAAATTTTATTCATGAATCCTGCAAAGAGACACACTGGTAAATAGCAGAAAACAGCCAAGGATTTTTTACAAGAGAAGGCTGGAATTTACTGAACACCAACTCATCAGATGAGTTTCAAAGGAAACTCCAGCTAGGCTATACATAGCCACCTAACCTTTGAAATACAGAGGCAGCATTTTGACCCTAGGGTCCTCAGCCATCCCCTTGAACCACATCAAAAACTCTGCTTACCGTGCATATGTATCACAAGGTTGTCCATTATTATTTTAAAAGGAATTACCTTAAAACAAACCGCCCATTAAGCCTACGCATCTGGGGAAGTGTTTTCTTTTTAAAAAGCTGCAAGCAACTTCTGAGCAAACGCTGAACAAAACTCGAGCTCAGCATTTGCTGGAGGATTTATTTATTTTTTAAATGCCTCCTAACCAAGATTTTCTATAAGCTTCAAGTGGCAGCCACAAGGCTGCGGATGCACCCAGTGAACATTGCATCAACGCAGCACTCGTGCTTGGTTCCGACTTGCAAATTAAATTGTTGGAAAAGCAGAAATACCCTCTTTCTGCCCCAGAGAGGGCTCGTTGTCCCCGTGACAGCCACATTTTCACACTCAGCCCTGCAGTTTGCACAGTTGTAGGGCCAGCATGTCCACCCCAAGAGCCAAGAGAAGTGGTTTGGACAGGGAGTTCATGCAGAATCCTGCACCCACCGAGCCCCCTGTTTCATTTCAATAGCAGGAACCCAGATACCCCGGTGAGGGGCACATCCCCGGCCCAGAACAAAGCTGGGGAAGGGACACGGAATGAGGTTTTCCCAATACTTCCCTTCCAGCCGGATCGAGTATTCCCGTGTGCGTCTGCTAGCTTGGCAGGCGCCTTTTAAAAGCTCTGCCCAGAAGGGCTGCTGCAACCTTTCTTCCCGAACCACTTTAAGCTGCTTCAAGATCTTAATGCTGCTTTTCTTCGTGCCTTGCTTTTCTCTTTTTCCCCAGAACTTAAAATAACCCCTTTTCCCTCTGCTGTTCCATCGCCCTGAATCCCGCAGAGCCCCACGAGCGATGCCCATGGGGAAATCATTCCTTCTTGCAAGAAGAAGTTTGCTTTAGTTAAGAGCAACTCTTCCTATGGACAAAGCTGCTTCTTTATATATATATATATATATATAAAAATATATATATACATATGTATATATATAAAGGGTAAAAATTAGATACAGGATACGCACCCACTTAAACCTTTTAAAAAGCTTCTCCCTATGCTCAAAACACCCAGATATTTTCTCTTTGGAGCAGGCCAAGCAATGCAGAAATCCATCTCCGTTGGCAGCTTGGTGAGCTCCACACCTTGATCCCTCGGTCCCATTGCTCCAAGCGGGACATGCCACCTCTCCCCATCCAAGGGAGGGATCCCATCCCGAGCAACAGAACAGCTCCCATCTGGGCTAGGAGCTGATATGTGGATTTAGCTCCGTTTCTTTGCACGTCTTGTGGCACAAATACAACTTTGTTTACTTGAACAACTGCAGTTTTGCACAAATACAACCCAAGACTGAGAGGATGCCCAAAAGCAGAACAGTCTCCAGAGGAGAGCAGAGACCTGCCACTGCAGGGAGCACCCGTCAGGATCGTCTTTCCATGACTTATCTTGGAAAAATGAAGCAGCTTCCAAAGGGAAGTAGCAGCTCTATGAAATATTTACACGACGGTAGCGCTCGCAGGTTTAAACCAGGTCACGGATCCGCTGCGCCAGGCTCTGGTGACGCCGTATGCAGCAATCCCTGTTTTAAATCCCATCTTTCTCACTTAGAGGGCAAAAAAAAGCAAATTCCTGAAAAAGCTGGAGAGAAGAGAGGATAGCAGCCATGCAAGGCAGCAAGAACAGGAGAGTATCAAACAGTGTCACCAACTGACACCATCTGCAGTGGCGAGAAGCTCCTTTAACCCAGCGAGACGTAGGCAGCTCTTGGACCTCCTGCTTTGGGCTCTCTGCTCATCTCACCACTCACGTCTGCCACCTTTGCACCCATCCAGTTAAGATTGCCACCAAAGCTCGGCCCAGATCTTCAGGAATCCCCCAATTTCACCCATTCTCTTATGAACACAAAGCGCTCCAGCCTAGAGCATTTTTGTTTGCCTTTTCCTGGCTTGGAAGCTTAAATCATTAACTCCTTGCTCATTCAAGAGGTCACCTGCAGTGGCAGAGCACTATAACATTGCTCCAATAATGCTGACTTGCTTTTTTCCATTTTTTTTAAAGCTCAAAGGCAAAAATATAAATACAGAGCAAGCATAACTGGATTTTTATTTTTGTATAGGCATTTTAAAGGAGAAAGCCAGGTGTAAAAAGAACTTCAAGCAGGCATAAAAAATGAGGATTTAATTGCCATAAGCTTGAATACTGCATAGCCATGATCAAAATCCTGAGTTCCAGATGAAGCAGTGCAATAAGGACTGCATTAACAGTGCAGATGCTGACCTGCAAAGACAGGGATATTTCAGCAATAGCCCTGGAATAACCCCTCTTTGGCTTGACTATTCCTTAGGGAGAAGCGTATTCTTGCATAAAAGGTCAACCAACCCAACTCAAAGGATGCCAATCTTTCCTTGGTACTGCAAACAAACCTCCGAAAATTCCAGCAATTTCACTATTCCAGTCGGGATATACCACATCCCGAGATTCCAGTGCTGGGGTGTGAAACGGCTTGTCCTTTGCTGAGGACACAGCTTGTTCCTGCAAAAACTCTGGCATAAGAAACCACCACTGATGGTCACCTCGAGGCACACTGAGCTCATCCATCAAGCACCAGCTGACGCTTCTCTGCCTAAACTAACTGTGACAGCAGCTCCAGATCCACGTGCAAGAACTTAGTCCTAGTCCTAGACACATTCACCTCTGCAGACTGGGACAACTGGCGGTTTGGGGGCTGCTCCCTATCCCAAAGGATAAAGGACACCCCACACAAGGTCCCCACCTTGCCCAGCAGTCACTCCCTGCTGGGGTGAAAGATCCTTTGGGGAAATCTGGAGGCTGGCAGTCTATTTGGAGCGTTAGCTACTGAGTCAAATATAACCCCATGGCCTCACGCCGGAGGCATTCGCCACGCAGCGCCGGCTGGAGCTGCTGCATAGCGTCAACTCGCGGGCAGCACGAGTTTATATTCCAATACTCATCTTTCTGCTGCTTTCCGAACCCACACCGTGCATGATTTTGCAACAGCAGCTTCACAAGAAGGGAAATTAGGGTTGAAAATTCCAGCTGTAGTCGAAGCAAAGCAGTGGCAGGGCTATAAGCTCCGGAGCCCGTCTCGGCGTGAATCACAGGTGCTGCTGGTGTCATTTTGTCTCATTGCTTCGTTCACCACCACCCGATGCCCAGGCTTCACAGACTGGCACAAAAGAGGGTGACTCTGTGCCAAATGGGGCTGCAAACGCCCAGCCTGTTTTGTGAGCCCGTTCCTGTTGCCGCAGAGGGTGCCCAGCGTGCGTCAGCCCGCAGCGGGGCAGCGGATACCAAATCCTTTTCGGCCTCTCGTCTTTCCCCTTACACAAAGGCGAGTTTATTTGCAAGAACAAGTATTTTTGCATCACTTGTAGGTCAGAAGAAGGATCAACACGTACAGGGAAGGGCGAGCTCAGAACGGTCACAGGCGAGAAGTGACTCATGAAATTCTATGTAGCAAAATGTAAGGCAATTTAGTGAGGAGCCGAGAGTAAAAATAGCAGCTGCAGTTAAAAAAGAAAAATTAGGCACAGGCTAGGAGAGATCTGGCAAATCCTGGAGAGAGCTAAGCACTGTTTCATGTCAGTACTGGCTGCTATATAATCCCTTATTATATATATATACACACACGTATACACACCCCTCCATATGTTTTGTGTTGCAAAACAAAATGCCTCGCACATTCACATTTAGAAGCAAGGTACAATAAAAAATGCACGTTATGTGCACATAAGCAGGACAGAGATGGAAGGAAAACGAGATTTGTCTACAAACATTCAGGAGATATTTGAGAAAACAGAGGCCTCTGAGCATACTGTATGCAACCCTCCCCTCTTTGACATTTCATTATTAAGAAACCAGAGTGACTCAGTGTGGGCCAAATATTTCGGCATGTTTTAGCTGTAATAATCAAATGCCACAGGGCTCCCAGGTTCCTGGTCTTTCAGAAGCTTGTGACAGTGCTCCTATCATCTAAGTAGGCCAGGACATGCCCAGTCTGGGCTTCTTTCTGTGTTTGTGGTCTATCAAAGGCCATTAATCTCTGGTTCTTGGCAGGCACAGGGACAGAGTAAAAACACGCAAAATTCACAGAGTGTTCTCGTGACTCGGGAGCTCAAAACAGCACTCGAAGTCCTGCACAATTCCTCTTTGAACAAAAAGCAGGAACAGGCTAGCAAAGTTCCCCTGAAGATAGCAAATCCCAAAGGGAAGGGACAAGAAGCAAAGCAGTGCCAACAGGGCAAGCGAAATCATAAACAGCTCAAGGGACCTCATTTGGGGGAAGCAAAAAAGGAACCAAACATCCAGCCAGGGAACGCTTAGGGTCACTGCAAGCACGCGGGGGTGTTTGCATTAATTGACAGAAGCAACGAGAGCAGCAGCGTTTAGTGTTTCAAAAAAGCAACCAGCTCTTTTCCAGGGTGCAGTTTGTTTGTCAGGAGCATCCCACTGACCTAGGACTCCTGCTAGATGCTCACGAGCATCTTCGAAGACAAACGGACACGCGGGGCTTGGGACAAGGTCTGCACCCCACAAACTGAAACCCACCTTAAAACCCTTCCCCGTTCTGCTTCTCCTCTCACGTTTGAGACGAGAGCACCAAGTTGAGCCAGCCTAAGTTTTCAGGTACATCAGACTCAGTGCACTGCTAGCACAAAAGCGACTTGAACAGATTAGAAAGCAGCTATTAGTGCTCATTTTTCAGAGGCAGCTTGCTAGAAGGCAGAGATATGCTGCAAGCCATCATGTTATTTGCTGCAGAAAACACACACACCACGTTCAAGATTGCATTAAGGTTTTCTAAGAGGCAGCACAGAGTTTCCACGTGTGCCCGAGGCTGCCCTGCCCCAAAAAAAAAGGCTCCAGTGACCCAAAAGTCTCCAATTTTACCTCTTTTCAGGTCACTGAGTGACATATTGGGCTCTCTCTCCCTAAATCCTAACCCAGGACTCTGCTGGAGGAGGACAACAGGGTTAGGACACCCGTGCTCGCTGCTACAGGCCCCGAGGATGCAGGAGGGTTGTGTTGGGGACACGTGTGGGTCACAGCGAGGTTTGGAGGGTACCAACTTGCTCTGGAGACCAGGCTGCCCCAGAGGAAGAGCCCGAGACGTCCCACGGCCCCGGCTGTACAGATAAGCCGGGCTTGGGCGGCACAAACGGGAAGCAGACGAAGGAAAAACAAAGCTCTTCCTGCAGCAGAGCCTGCCCGGGCCCCAGCACTGCCCCTGGCATGGCGATTTTCCAGGCGAGGGATGAACGCTCAGCCTTGGGAGGCCGGAATAAGAGGGCTGCAACGCGGGGGACAGGCGCAAGCTGAGCGCAGCGAAAGGTGCTGGCCCAAAAGGCAGGCAGCAAAAGCAGCGTCAGCAGGGGACAAGGCAGCTCAGAGCAGCGAGCAGAGAACAACGGGTGTCTTGGCCCTTCCGCTCCCTGACAGACACGGCGTTCCCAGGAAAACGGGACATCCCTGCGGGAAGTGTGGCCAGGCCTGCGCTGATCCCGGGCTGCCTTTAATTCCTAGGTGCCATGGCCAGCACCACGGGGTCTCCAAGTCAAGCAGAGATAAGGTTGAACCTGCTGCCTTCAACACAGCTAATGGGAGCCTCAAACAGCACCAAGAAAGAGCCCGGCCTAAGGTCAGCTGCCCAGGGAAGAAAGTTGGGTTTTTGCTTTAAGTCACCTTAAAGTCGCTTAAGCTTTACTTAAAGTCGACGGGGAAAGCAACTGGCACCCACTGTACACCCCACTAAGTCTTTAATCTGAGACATGCAACAGATTTCAAAACTGGCTGCGGTGGACACCACATTTCTGTGGTTCTGCTAGGGCTTCAACACAGACAGAAGGTACCGGGTGGTGTAAAAGTAGTGCTGCTCTTTCCCAAAAGTTCACGTGAGAGACCAGATAGATTATTTCTCACACTAGAGAGAAATATTTTAAATAGAAGGCACTCTTAAGAGTCTATTTTAAGCAAGCAGCCAAAACTTAACAGCTCCGGATTGGGATGTTGATGTTGGAAAGGACCCATCAGTCCAACCCATGTTGTCAAGTTTCCACAGCAATTCTCCAAAGCTGTTTTCTCCAGAGCCCTCCGGGGCTTAAGGCACAAGCAAGTCCTGACTGAGGGCCATGCCCCCACGGTACCGGCATTGACTTCCTAAGCCAGAGTAGAGATGTTAAGAGTTCATGCTTCTACTCCAGGGTTATTCTTTTTTCAAGAAACACTATTTAATTTATTGCTTGAGTGACTGGGCAAGTTGGATAGCACAATACATGCAAGCTGGAGCACTTATTCGAGGACAAAGATAGATGGGGGGAGTCTAGAGAACATTTACTTATCACACTTCCTATTTGCTCTAGAAGGTTAAACCAGTCTGACAAGTCCAACCAGCTGGAACTACGCTGGGTTTATACCCCTGTTTCTGTGCTCTTCCACACAGGCATCACCTGCCCAAGGTGACAGGGGCTCTGGCTCCTGTTTCCACTGCCATTCATTCTGCTGGACAACAGGTGCCAACAACCACGTTCTCTACATCTTTCATGAACACACACTATGCTCTTTGCTGTTAGTCCTCTTCTCTAAGCAGGCTCCACCATGCACGGTGGCTTGCACCTCACACATGAATGGATATATCATTAAAAAACCATCACACAAAACAAGAGCACCTGGTAGAGGGACTCACTTCATCAACAGAAACACACGACCAGATGGATTTCCATCTCCTAGCCCGTTAACCACAAGGCCAAGCTCCCTCTGCACTTTGCATTGCAGTAGTTGAGCTGGTGTCTACAGTAAAGGCTCCAAGAGCTGACTGCATCGAGCGTTTGTGCAACTTCCCTTGCAACAACGCCACAAGCTGCAACGTCTCTCCTGCAGAAGCAACAAGATGATTTTGACTGAAAGAGATTGTTGGTTACCTATAGACGGGGATTTGAAAGGGTATTTATCAGGAAGGTCGACTCTAACTTTCCATACTCCACCTTCATATGGTGCTGCAATGAAAGAAACGCAGGTATTAGACACACTTCACAACTCAGAGGAGAATAAACAGAAATACAGCATTAAACAAAACATCTTTGCAAGAATACTTAGTCCCGTCAGGGGGTAAGGTTTCACATCAAAGCACCTACGGTAAAAGCCTTTTTCCTGGACTGCCTCACAAGAAGTGCTTGATTTTAACTGATATTACAGGAGATCTCAGCACAAAAAAGACAGAAGAGCCTTATTCAAAGCACAGACTTTAAAATAATCTACTTACCTTCAGAGATGCTACTAAACTAAGGCACACTGGCAACCCGACTCATGATCTAGACCCTAGAAAAGCCGTGCTGCTTATAAACTCAACCAAAAGCTTGGACGGTGGCGATGCAGAACGGACAAGGCAGCTCTAGAAGAACTAAGGACCAACAAGAGCTGGGGCTGTCGGCGATAGCAGCGGGTTTAGCTGTCTCGGTACCGGGCTCTGCTCGGCTCCACGGGAGGTGCTTCGTGTGCATTAGTGTTCACAGCTGCTGTTTCCCTCACCTTCAAGACGGCGGCCTTCAAATTCTGCTACCATTTGACTTCTTGCTCCCGTTTAGATCTGCTTATCGCTTCTTCTGCTCCAGAAGCACGGCATTTCACTGCTCCCTACCATAAAACTCTTAGTTTGCATTTTGAGAAGGGCTGGCTCATATACTTACTTCCTTGTGGTCCATAAAACTTCACAACAAATTCATTGAGTCCTCCTAAGATCGTGACTTCGTGTTTGCTCTCGATACTGACACAGCAAGTAAAGGAAAACATTGAATCCGAGAAACAAAACATGCATTTACTCAGATATGGGTAAATTGCTAGAAACCTGTCCAGCCAAACAGTTTAAAACCAGCTTTTGAATCACCCCACAAGGAAAGTTAAGAGTCTTGACTCCAGGAGAGACCTCTCTCCATCCCAGTGCCCCAGATAGTGGCCACCAAGTCGAAAGCCACCCTTGCCCACAGTAAGGTGAAATGTTTACTCTCCCACCCGCATTAGAGAAGCAGAACTTCCCCCATTTCTGCTCCGACAAATGCAAATTCTGATGATTTCAATTCTACTTGGCTGCCTTCGGTGCTGTCAGCTGGCCTCCCACTGCTACCATGCAAATTACAGCAATCTAATGGTAATTTCACTTGCAAGACCAAAAGAAAAAAATACCTCAGATCTCTTTGGAGAAACAGCAGTGCCTCAAACTCACCTATTTGCCATGGCACTAAAACGCACGAGTGTCTCTGAACAGTTAAATGAGAGCCGAAACACCAGCACTTTGAGAAGGGGAGAGAGCTGCAAGGCAAGAAATCTTCGTTTCAAATAACACTTAAGACAATTAGCAGGGGTGTTTCAGCATCCAGGCTTGCTGAAGAAGTTCTGCTACAAATCAGGGTTAATGGATTGTGAATAATATCCGACAGCAATTGCCTTTAATCAATAATCTTCACGTGAATTACGAGGGAAGCATCAGGAAAGCAGAGCAGGAGGAAATCAACGTTTTAGTCCCGCCTGAATTTCCACCAGCCTCACAGCCGCACCCCAGGGGCAGACCCCGCTTTGAGGGATGGGGATCTGGAGGATATTGAATTAAAAAATCCTTAACATCACAGCAGAACCCTCTTCCCCTCGTTGTAGGAAAGCTCACGGCAGTTTGATTTGGCTCGAGACTTCTCTTGGGGCAGAAATCGCTCGATTTCCCCTTGGTGCCCCGAGTGCAAGTGGCTTCTCTGCTAGAAGCCGAGCGGCCTCTCCGGGAACAGCCGAATCCCTAAAGGTTTGTGGAAGCACCTCGGCATCCAAGTCATGCTGCTTGCTACAGACCTGATGTTGAAGGACACTTGTCACCACGTCCGCTTGGGCCACCCAGCACATAATATAATGTAGGCAAGATCAAATTGAGGCTCCTTTGAAACAGAAGCACTCATCAAACGTAACTATTGCACATCCAGGAACGGGCTCTTACACAAACCCTCCACACATGACGATGCCCAAGAGTGCAACATTTACCACTCAAGTACGTTAACACTCAGAGCAGCTCCACGGATCAGGCTAAGCACAAATGGTTTTACTCAGGACTAAATCAAGTCCCACATAATAAAAACCAGCTCTCTGAGGCAGATCTTCAGAACAGGCTCCCGGGCAGCTGCAGCGTCGACAGCTCTGCACGCTCACGTAGACCATAAATTAAGCGGAGTTTCCTGCATCCAGACTTAAGCCCTAGCATTAAGATCAAAAAAAAAATCTGTGACCAATGCAGTTCCATATTTATTCTCCTTATTGTGAACAGCACCTAAAATTCCTATCAAAAATAAATAAAACAGTGAGTAACATGAAGCTTGATACTTGGGAACAACTGCAATGCCGGGCAAATCCACACATCCCCACGCGAGAAGGAGCAGCCATCTCCCCTTCCCCTGGTTCTCACGGAAAGTAGAGATGCCAGGGCTCAAAAAAATCCAAGTCCCACTGGCAAAGAGTGGGAGAACTAGCAGGAAAAAGGGGTTGGGACAGTTACAGGATGAATATTTCCACCCTACCAGCTCCTTGGGCTCCTCCAATAAGTCTTCAGGTCCATTCCTTAGCGTTCCTTCTTCCCAGGAAATACCACACAAGCCAGGATTCCAGCAAGACACAAAACGGAGGCAGATCTCAAGGTCTTGAGGGTCCTGCAAACTCCCACCCCACACAGCCAGACTAGGGAACCCTCTAACAGCACCAGGGAAAAATATGGGGCAGGAGGGATGGACGGGACCGGAGACACGGAGTTCTCTCGGAAACGCGCTCCCAAGGGACAGGCCTCCACCAGAACTGAGGGCAACATGTCTAGGAGCAAAGAATGCAGGCTCTGAACCAACTATTTGGTCAGCTCGGACAGATTTTTTTTTTCCTCCCCATCAATCTTACAACCAAATCCCAGATGAACCTTGTTTCATACGTGCCAACAATTAATCAGCAGTCTTGGATCCGAGAAAAGAGTTGCCACTTTGGAGATCTGCAAGGTCTTGGAGAATCCAGCTGTGCCTGGAGCACAGCAAAAAGCTGGATCCTGGGAGCAAACGCAGGAAGCTCCCAGGAAGGAGGTCACAAAGTCCTCAGCAAAGCAAGGGCAGCTTCAGGAAGACGCAGAGAAAGAGCACCAACATTTTACAACAAATCCTCCACTTTAAAGGCTTGAATGTCCTTGATGCCAGCAGTGATTTGATGGTTCACAGAGGCAGGAACCAGAGCTACCGTGTGCGTACGCAGGGGTGCGATCGGTGGCTCATAACACACCACACGTGCCCAGATGTTTAACACAGCCACAAGCAAATCCCTTCCAAGACACTCAGCTGGCTCCTATGAGTCTGGCTGAGTTACAGCCTCGACGCTTTTATCTCCATCTTTTATGCCATGTTTTATCTCCCCATCTGATAAGGGACTCATTCAACTTCATGGCAAATATAGCGAGGGAAAAAATCAGGAGGAAAAGTGAGTGAAATGTGGATACGAGTCAGGCTGCTGTTTCTAAGGATAAGTAGTTCAAAAGCTTTACCTCGAGCCCGCTGAAAGTCAAAGGGAGGACCTGAAGATAAATTATTTTAGTGCCAATTTTAGTGCTAGGGGATTTATAATGACAGCGAGCAGCAAAAATACTTAGCTGCTGATAGAGAAAACAAGCTGGTTTTCAAGCATCGGTTCCAAAGGAGCAGCCAGGGGAGAGGCAGGAGGGTTTTTGCTGCAGCTGATTCCAGATTCCCTCCGCGGTGCCCGAGAAGTTCTGGATGCACCAAGGCCAACGGGATTAGCATGACAGTAACATCCAGAGCCCCCAGCAAGACCAAGGCTCTACCGTGCCATGTTGTCCTGGTAGGAAATGGTTTCTTGAAGACCAAGGAGCGATTTGGAGTATTTTCCTCACTCTGCTTTGGGATAAAAACACACCAGACCTTGCAAATCCAGAGCATTCGGGACCACCTGGCGAATAGCTGGGAACGGACCGGGAATTTGCTTGTTCCAAGGTTGAGCTCCCACTCCTTCATCCTCCTAAGCAGCCTCACAAGAGGCCACCCACTATCCAGGGCCAGCACCTCCTCTGCAGTAATTAAAATAATAAAAGAATTAGGATGCAACTTCACACCCAGACCTCCCAAAATCCCAAATGATCACTGTGACCAGACTGCTAGTCCGCTTGTCTGAGGGTTTTTCTTGTTTTTTTTCTCCCTCCTTGCTCCAGGCAAACATTTATCCCTTAAGAAACTCTCTCCATTCAGTTTTTCCAAAATTAGCATTCAAAGTTGTAAGCTTGGACGAATCCATTTCCCAGCTACAAATATTTCCCTGAAAATATTGTTCCCTTCGTAGCAATGCAAATGGCCATGAAGAGCCCTGGAGAGGCAGAGCAGAGCACCCCAAAGACTCAGGGAGGCTCCAGTTTGGTATTTTCCTGCGTGTATCTCAGCTCAGGGTTGCAGGGAGGTGGATGGTTGTCACCAGGAAGCTAAGAACAACTTAGGTCACTTCAGGAGAGTCCTCTGCAGCTACTGCCAGGTGCGGAACGTGGCCGGAGATGGAGACTGGAGGGAAAATACTAAGGCCACATCTGGGTATAGGATAAGATGAACCACAGAAGTCAGACTCTGCTACCTAAGTAGCAGAGAACAGAGACACCTCGCTGCATCTCAGCAGCTGCATGTTCACCAACAAAATTAAAACCCAAGATTAGGGTTTTCCCCCCCTCATTGAGGGCACCGGGCCTTTGAAATCCACATCACTTAAAAGCTCTGGGATCCGGCATTTTTATTTTCCCCACCTGGAATTCCCGGTCCTCTCCCGGCACACTGCTTCCTTCCCGCTTCCGCAGCCATCCCGTGGTAGAGGATGGGATACTCCAGCAGACTGAGCTCTAAAGCACTAAAATCCCTTGTGATTTCATGACTTCCTGCAGCAAGAGGCAGCCCTGAGGTCTCCCCCAAACTACTTTGCAACTCCAGGCTAAACTGCCTAGAAAATCCACTGTTTTTCCCCCAAAGCAGCTGCTCTTGCTGCCATAGGGCACAAATTGCTGCTTTCAGCCCCGAGCAAAGGCACTTTCTAGCATCAGAAATCCGTGCTCTGTTTGCGAAGTACCTCGTGCTGTCCTGGTCCCGATAACCACAGCTCCATCATCCGCAGCTCCCCAGAAGGGAAGATTCCCCTGGGGGAATCCAGAGTTTCTTTGGGAAGCCAATGCCAAGGCCAATTTTCTTCCATTTCCATCAGGTTTGCCCGAGAATCCCCCAGCTTTGAACAAGACAGATGATACTTCAATCTCCACAGCTTGAATGCCACGGGGCAGGACAACAAGTCACTCACACCCCATCACAGAGGGCCACGTAGTAACGCAGTTTTCACATTTTCCTCCTCCTTGATGTTCCCTTGAAGAATTTCTACTTGCCAGAAAAAGACGTAGGAGACAGATGCATTTTTCTTGCCATGGAGAAAAACATTGGCTTGAGCATGTTTAAATGTATATCCACTGGAAGTCACCTTCTGATGAGCAGCGCAGCAGAGCTCTGCTTGCCAAATGACCACGTTTTGGGACTCCTTGTGTTGAAGGTTAGCTCCCACCAGGAACAGTTATGCTGGAAGGACGTGGGCTGAAGTCACTCGGAGCCGCTACGGACGTGAGCGCTGCTGGAGAGAGGCCGGGAGCTGCACAAGGCAAGGCAAGAAGCAGCAGTGACGTTTCCAACCTAAAGCACTGTGAAATTCCTCAGGAGGAGACGCACTAGGAGCCAAGAGAATTTAAGTCCGCGGTG